TCGCCCTTTCAAACGAAATGAAAGGTACTCCAACATCAAACTACGAATCTCTTTCGCTCAGGTTTTCACAGAATAAGTAGGCCTATAGGCCTAGCTTAGATAGAAATATGCTGTAACATATAATCATTTAGTAACCGATAACGAAACGTGTCTTTATTTAAGTAAACAAAGAGGTCTAGAGTAAGAATTTAATTACGAGGTTGCTCTCAACCTCGAAAGCATGGTCCACTTGCAACACGCCACTTCGACACTGAAATGTCCTCCGTTGAAAGATGCGAATTTTCAACACAAGTCCAGACATGGAAAAAGTCGCAAAGGTGAAAAATGCAAGGATAAAGAGCAATACCTACATTGGAGGATTCACCGTTCGTCGGATCAAATGAGTCGAGAAGTAGACCTGATGCCCCGAAGTCTTGAGGGACTTCATTTGAGGCGATTCGAGGAGACCGCCCATTCATGTGGGCGGCAGGACTACTCACCCTCTGACCATACCGGCGATTCGAGTCACTAGGTCGCAGGGCTTGGTCATTATCTGAGGCACGACGCCTCTCCAGACTATCGTTGAACTGTGAGTCTTCCTCAAATGGGCCAACCATACGATTTACACAAGTCGAGGGTAAGGTAGGTGAGGAACGGAAGGGCGGATCGATGACTTGAGTGATAGGGAGAGAAGGAAGAGAGGTAGGTGGGGTGGGGAGACCCATGTCGAGGAGTGAAGTAGAGACTGTGGAATGAGAGAATGAGGCAAAGAGTATCAAAGAAAGAAGTTAGAAAGGACCTAGTAAATTGTTCTATTAGTTTGGTGCAAATAATGCTTTTAACAGTGAAAGCAAAAACAGGAATAATGAGAATTGCATGATGTAATTAATGAGTGTGATCAAGATAGGTTGAGAGTAATGACCTCTCATGTTTATCCAGATGAGTGGTTAAACGGGAGAGAAATAATCATCAAAATGGGCGAGTAGTTCACTATGACTTGACAAGCCACACTGTCGTAAGGCAACTTTAAACACACATCAACTGAAAACGTCTATGAATGTAGACTATCTGGGCTGAAGTCGGCTTTCAGGCGCGAAGACAGGTCTCTCAGTCTAAATGTAAAAGTAAACATTAGACAAAGTGAAGAATATAAAGCTAACAGTTAGAAATAGGAAAAATTAGATTAAATCGTTATGAACACGAGTTAATCTCGTAAGTTGAAGGAACACAGCTCATTCTGAGGTAATGGTGGTTGCGAAGGTATCCACGCAAAGTATAATGCATGTGTTCAAGCCGTGTTTTGAATATCCCCGTGAGATGTTCATACCTGCGTAACTTTTAGTTCGCACAAGCTAATCTAACAGGAGATCAGAGTTGCAGACGATGATGATCATGCTATTTGTGCTGCACTCACTTCATGTTGGGAAGCTATGAGTGATTGTTAGACGAGTCGCAAAATAAAGTGGTGGATGATTTGCATTTAGTTCGTCTTGCAGTTGTGGCAGTTGATTTGTGAGAAAAGTCCTCAGAGAACCGTCCTGTGATCCCGATCCATGCTTGCTAAGTCTTCGTCTGTCCTGCCTAAGACCTCTGTTGCCTTAGTGCTCGGTGAAGTTTCCTAAGAAAGGGTTTTAAGCCCAATACAGATTCATTGGGGTCGTAAGACGATGCGCAAAGGACTTTGCACAAATACAGTCACAACCACATGACAACGAAGCTAATTAATTCAATCGAACGTACGAAG